TGCTTCTTTTGTATTTCGTATCCTATCAATGCCCAGTGGAGGATCTTACTCTTTCCTGGGTAGCAAAACCTTTCAGTGCCTTACTCCAGTATCAGTGTGGGAGGGAGGAGTTTGGAGCCACTTGCTGTCTCCTTTTTGACATCAACATTTTCCTTTCCTCTAAGTTTTACTCTGGTTGATAATTATGGTGATTTTTGAAATCACGAACCTTGTCAATAACATGTTCATCAATCGATTGAAATGAGACAGAATCCCACTGTCAATTGAAGCAAAATTATCTAACCTCTCTGCCGCAAAACCCTTCATCTGTAAAATGAAGGATTGGACTATGAGAGTTATAAGAGCTCTTATAACAAATATTTCTGGTTTTAAGAGAATTGTGACATGGAATATTCTCCCACATGACAGAGTGTATGATAATATCTGGATCTGTGGCTATTTTCTCTGATCTCCCTTCCTGTCTTTCACTTTGTCTGTCCCTCTCTCCTCCTTTCTCTCTCTCTCTCCTGCTTTCCTGCAATATTTCCCTCTTAAAAAGAGCATTCATTTGGCTTGAAGCTGCTCCAGTGCTGTAGTATTCCGGGTGGCCTTGTATCCCAGCTCTCCTGCCCTGACCCTGAATGCCAGAGGCTTGGCCAAGTGTGGAAATTGGCATGACAGGAGTCACAGAGGGAAAGTGCCTGATGCTGGTCCTGGGAACTGTGTTCCTAGAAACCTTATCTGTGGATAGAAAGACTGGGTGAAAGCCTGAAGAAAAGAACTACTAACCACCTTCCTAGGGGGAACAGTAGAACTCTGCTTCCTCTGCCAGCTATGATGGGGTTGTGAATAATGTTAGTTGCTCAGTTGTGTCCAACTCTTTGCAACTCTATGTGTTATAGCCCACCAGGCTCCTCTGTCCATGGAATTCTCCAGGCAAGAGTACTGGAGTGGGTAGCCATTCCTTTCTCCAGGGGATCTTCATTCACTCGTTTGTTTACACGTCTAACTTTGTGGACTCTGAAGTAACCTAAAACCATAAGTAGCCTAAGAAGTATAATTTGAAGGTCACCAAAATCCACCCTCTTCACATATTCCTTCAAAGAGCCCTCCTGTGATCCCTGTAGATATTACATTTCCTGGCCACATCTATAAGAATTCAAATAGAAAGAGGACTAGGGACCTCAAGTCTTTCATATTGTTGATTTCAATGAGATTAATTTCTCAGATCCTTTATTTAAATGAAATTTCCATGGAGAATGGATTACTTGGCCTATTAATAGCATCCAAGCAATTTGAATGAGTTTCTGATACATTGTTTATCACAGGTTTTCAGGTCACCACACTGATTTTTCTTCTATCTGCATCCTTTATTTGCTGTTTCTTCTCCATGACGTCTTAATTTTGGAGTGACTCAGGGTATTGTCCACAGTTATCTTCTCTTCGCCATCTCATTACAATGTATACAGAATTCTTTTTTAACCTCTTTGTGAATACAATAGAAAAGCCTGCTTTTAAAGCATGGTTTCTCAGTCTTGGTACTGTAGACATCTAGGGCCAGATAACCCTTTGATGTAGGGCTGTATGTTTTAAGATAATAAGCAGCATCTTTAGCTACAACCCACTAAATGCTGGTAACACCTCCTCTAGTTGTGACAACTAGAAGTGCTTCCATACATTATCAGATGTTCCCCTGGGATAAAAATTATCTCCATAAACCATTGATTTAGAATAATTTGGTATAAAACAAAACAAAAAAATCCTTTAATAATGCATATTATAAACTTTTCACTTAATCTGGCCAATTCATTTTTTAATGTTTATATCTTAAATTTATAGAAACCTGAATAACAACAATTAAAGAGTCAAAAATAGAATCTATAAGGCAAGTTCTGGTTTGGAGAAAAAAAAAAGCTTGTGCCCGGGAGGAAATAAAAGAAAATGGATTTCATCTTGTCTTTAACCCTACACCATTATTGACAAAAACATGAACATTACCTTCCTTTTAAAGCAGCAGTAAACAATATCCTAAATTAAGATTCGAGTTTAACTCTGCTGCTTCTTGTCAATTCCATCCTGCTGAGAAAACTAAATTTGGAATAGTCAGTTCACCCAAATTCAGGTTATTATCCAAATCATGTATTTCTCGTTCTTTCACATTCCTACCTCTAAGAATCAAAGATAATTTTGGTGAGTTGTCACTGGAAGTTGTAAAGCCTTTAACCCATGTAAGTTTGTTTTGATGTTTGCATTCAGAGATGAAAACCCTAGAAGTTAATATGGGATGTGGAAGTCTTTGGCTAAGCCTGCCAGAACTTATACCTAGCAGCTCTCTTCTTGCCCATATCTACCAAATTTTCTTTGCATGCCAAAACCCTGGCCACCCTTCCTTCTGTCTCTCCTCCTTTTCCTTCAGTATTTTAGCTTAAAACATCTACCAATCTCGTCCTTTTAAAAAATATTTTATTTATTGGCTGCACTAGTCTTAGTTGCAACATAGAGGATCTTTATAGTTGCAGCATGNCTCCTTTTCCTTCAGTATTTTAGCTTTAAACATCTACCAATCTCGTCCTTTTAAAAAATATTTTATTTATTGGCTGCACTAGTCTTAGTTGCAACATAGAGGATCTTTATAGTTGCAGCATGCAAACCCTTTTGTTGAGACAGGCAGGATCTAGTTCCCTGATCAGGAATCAAACCCAAGCACCCTGCATTGAAAGCCTGGAGTCCCAGTCACTGGGCCACCAGGAAAATCCCAATCACATCCTTTTAAATCTAAATGAACATAAATGCCATCACTTAACATTAATTAGCGAATTTTGAATTAGAAAAGTAACACATACACTTGGATTTAAAAATGCACAAAATGGTACCTATTAGAACTATACCATGGTCCCGCCTTTGAACTCAACACTTCTCAGATTTAAGCTTCTCATAGATTTAAGCACTCCATAGATTTAAGCACTATTAACTGATATTTTTATGTCCTTGCCGAAATTTCCTCTGCATATGCAGCTTTGTATTTACATGTATAAATGTGTATGTTTAGTGTGTGTATAGTCTTTAAACAATTTTGAATTTGTGCCTTTAATTTTTGTTTACGTAGCAATACATCTTAGTTGTCTCTTCATATACGTGTTTGAATTTACCACATTCTATTTTACAGCTACAGAGTGACTGTAAAACTGTAATTTATCTCCTCAGTTCATTATTGATAAATAGGCGGTTTCTAGTTTGGGGCTATTACAATAGTTCAATAAATAGGTAATGTCTTCATGTCAGTGTTTCATTCTTGTTGTTTTCTTTTTGCTAAGTACTCTGAGCCTTCATCTTTTCTTTTAAAAGAATAAAGTTTGACTGTTGACATTTATATTATTTAATAAATATGATAGATATTTATTGATAGAATGGGCAGAAAATTATGTATGTTTTAAAGAACTTTAAAAATGCTGTATTCTTTTCTATAGACAACATTGAATAAAGGAATGAGAGGAAAGGAATTGGCCAAAAAAAAACAAACACCTTGACAGAATCCAAGTCTTTCAAGAGGATGAGTTTAAAAAATAGTTGCCAAGACAAAATGAGCTCTGAAATTTCAGCATTCTAAACCTCAGTAGCAATTTTTCTTATTATGGCACACCTATCAGAATTTATTCTCAGATATTTGTTCTAAGTAGTTTTGCATGACTCTGAAAGCAGTTAGAATTAGTCCTTGAAAATGCCAGGAGATAATAATAACTGGGCCATAAAGAACAATAGATGTGCCCTAGGTACTCTTTCTGATATAAATGTTATTCCTGAAGATCATTCAATGTTTATTTTGGACTTTTAAAAAATATCTCCATGATACTGCCATTTGAAACACACCATAGTCTCACCACTTAAAACCTTCCTATCAGACAGGATACACTCAGCTCAGTTACCTTCAACTGTGCAATGTCTGCTATTATAGAATGATCAATAAATGCAGATGTATTGGGGATATATTTCCATATGGTATTCCAGATGTGGAGGCTCTGTTTATGAAAGAATTACTTTTAATTTTAGAGGAAAGACAAAAAATAAGTATGTATTTCCAACACTGGATAACTCATTTGTTTTTCTTTGGGAAGCAGGATGTACATTCTTTGGTGCTTGTTTTTATTTTTAATGGTCGACAGAATGGCATATTTACTGGGACTTAAATCGTCTTTAAAGAGAAACAGCTCTGATTGGCAAAAAGAAAAAAAAAAAAGGCATAGTAATCTACTTCTTAATATGGCATAATTGCCATTGCAAAATTATCCCATAAAAATACTCATTATATACAGGGCATTCAAAAAATGCCATTCATTAACTTGGAAATAAAATTATGATTACAATTATAAAGCTCTGAGCTGACTCTGTTAGGAGGTTTGCATGCTAATTGCAGTTTAAGGCTTCTAATTTAATATTAGGTGGAAACGTGATGATCAGCTGAAGGAAAGCACATAAGAGAAGTTTAAGGGTTGGGATGTTAAAAAGTAGTTTTCTTTCTGCTGGGCTATCACATTGGATTACAAAGTAATACAGAGAAAAATTCCCGTGCGTGAAAATGAGTCTTTATTTAGGTCAGGGGTTTAGGGGGATGTCGGTTTCCCTGTGCAGTCACAGCCAGGGAGCAAATTCAACAGCAGCAACTGCCTAGACTTTTTGAGCGGAGCGCGGGGTTGTGGGCTGTGTACCAACAACCTCGTCAACTGCAGACGGAACTGCAGCATCCCTTTCTGCAGTAGTTCGTCAGCCATTGGCTCGTTGGTGACACGTGACTGATAGAGCCTTTTCTGTGTCTTTTCTCGCCCATCTGTGTGCAGGGCACTGATAGGCCAGGCTGATGCGCAGGCAATTTATCATTTTGATCTCCCACTGAGTCAGGGAGCTCTCCTGTCACCAGTATTGATTTCAGAGGATGGACTAAATTTCCTAGGATTTCCATTAAGAATTAAGAAAAAAGCTCTAAGCACGCAGGGTAGCCAGACAGACATGGATATGAGATGGCATTGTGAAAACTCGCAGGTAGCTTCTTCTGTCACAGCCAGCGCTCGGCACAGCTTAGAACTGCAGCATGCAGGGTTTAAGATTCCAGAAGCCTGAGAACAATAATAATGAAACTAAGAATAAACTCTTTTGGATAAACTAATTTTAAGATTTATATTAAAATGTTTCTTCTTGGAATTGCATGTCAAATTTATGCATGCTCTATAGGAAATGTAGAAAGGTTGTTTTAAATTTTTAAATGTCCTTAAACCCTGAGCATGGTTGCTTATACTTTCGTTTGCTGCTTTCTGTGAGCTTCAGAGGTTTTTGAGCATGCTTGTGGCAGAAACAGCCAAAAATTGTGTGTGTGTGTGTTTCTATATATGTATATATGTATTAAGTTGGTTCGAGTAAAAGCATGAATAAATGGGGAGGGGAGGAGTTGGCTTAATAGTGAAGGAAGCCTGGCCTCCCTTTTCAAGGCAACTTCTGATTGCACCTTCCTTTAATCATGAGAAAGTCATGTCTGTTGTGACAACTATTTTTCATAGATTAGGAAAGCAGTTCCATGAATAGAAGGTACTTTGCCAGATTATAAATGGTGTGTTATTTGTTGTTGTTTGTAATCTTTTCCTCTTTGTCATATTCAGGAGAAGTAGGAACAAAATTTAAATTTAGCTGTCATATTATTTGAGTTTGTAGTATTTAAACATAAATATGGCAATAACTACTAAACTTATTTTCAGATTTTAACAATTCAATCATCAATAAGGCTTATTGACTTTTTCTCTAAGTAAGTTTTCAATTCTGAAAACATAAGGAGCTCATGCTGACTAATCTGTTATTTTACTTCTGACTTGTAAATACACGTTCATTTCTAGAATAACTTTGAATGTTTTATTTAAGTACTTGTTGATTTTATCATGAAGTCTCGGGGCTTGACCAATGCCTAGTTCAAATTCTACAACGAACTTACTCATTCAGCATCCTCAGTGGAGCCCAAAAGTGTCATAGGATTGACAAAGAATAAAAAATGAATTTACTTATGAATTCTATTATTTTAATGATTATTTCAAAATCCTAAGGTGAATCCAGACACAATTCCCAGTCCTAAGTAAACCTGAATTTTACCAAGTTCAAGAAGCCAAAATGTAGCGGTGAAAAACAGCTTTTAAAAATTTAAGTATACATCTCTTGCATTTGGCTGGTGGACCTTGTGTATGGAGAGAATTTCCACTTTCTAAAAGTTTTGCCATGTTGCATGTCTCTTTTGACTGCTTTTTGAAACTTGGCTTGTCAAGGAATTATATATGACTTAAAGTAAATGAAAATCTTTACCTTTAATATCCTGGGATACATTTAAACCAATTTACTCAAATTATATTGATTTTCCTAGAGTTAATAAATGAAGCCAGTTTCTTATACTTTCTCCAGTCCTTTTCTTCCATGCCTTATTTTTCAAAATTAAAGAGAGCGCACTAAGCAGCAAAATTCTCCTCACTTGGCAAATTCCCTCTAATGTTCTTAGGAAAAAAATATTGTCTACAGATAGATCTTTGAACAGATATTTATATTTTGGAGTGTTGACTCATGTTCATTAAGCAAGATAACCCAATGTTGAAGAGTAAATATTTTCAATTACTTTGTCCAATCAAGGTTGCCTAATAGGCTGAGAAGGCCTTCCTCATGTGGCTCAGTGGTAAAGAATCCACCTGCCAATGCAGGAGAGATGGGTTCGATCCCTGGGTCAGGAGATCCCCTGGAGAAGGAAATGGCAACCCACTCCAGTATTCTTGCCTGGGAAATCCCATGGACAGAGGAGCCTGGTGGGCTACAGTCCATGGGGTCACAAAGAATCAGAAAAAGGCTTAACAACTGAATAGCATTAGGAATAGGCTGAGAGCCACATTCTCTTTCTGTGGAATAAAACTAGAAGAGCCGTAAAGTCATATTAAATGTTTGGTCACAGTAGCATTTGGGCTCAACTGCCAAGCAAATTTCTCACCAAGATATTAACCAGGAAATGCTTACATAGTTATGAAGTAATTAGTGATGTAGCATTGCATATTAAGGATGTTTTGGGTAGCTATGATGAAATGTTACTGTCTGCATGCCTTCCATATGCTCCTTTAATTTACAGAATGTGATCATCCCATAGCATCTGGGTACATTTATAGACTACAAGAGCAATCAATTAACTATATGATCGATGTAGTAGGCAGAATGCTAATTGATGGGAGAAGCCCTTTTAGCTTGCACTTTGTAGTTTTCAAATGGGAAAATAATGCACGTAGCCAAGGACTTTCAGTCTTTGTCTATATTAAATTTAAGTGTTTCGAGAACTAAGCTTATACTCTGCCCATTTGGAAAATAACACATTTGAAACAAGATTTTGCCTTGTCAAAATAAGTGGTCTTAATTTCAGTGTTATAAGCACCAGTGTAATTCATAGGTGAACAGAGTTAGTTAATAGTTAATTATACTTAGACCCAAGTGGTATCTTCTTTTCAGTCTTATTTTTTCCTTTCCATTTCCTATACTCCCAGTTCTTTCTTCTGCTGTTTCAACTGTCATTTTTGGATTCAAATGCCATTTGTTCCAGACCTCTATTACTAAGCAGAAATAATAAAGTATATATAAATTCAGCAGAAGATAATGACCCCAACTTCTGCTTGTGCCTTTTTGTGTATATTTAGGCTTTGAATATTATTGATTTCTACTAAGGTTACCACACTGACCCAGAAAGATAGATTTTACTTTCTGCCATCTTATTTACATTTAGCTGATTGTTGATACCTGGCTCTCCTGAAGACTCCTTTCCCTCATTACTCTAACACAGAGAATGGAGCCAAGCACATTATCAAGTAGATAGGCAATTTCCAGTATACAGAATAATTGCGGAAAGTCACAGGCAGATAAAAGACTCATGGGCATCTCTAGTGTCTCACAGAAAATTAATAACCATGAAAAAGCAAAAATATATAAAAGAGGTTTGCTAGGTTTGTAGTTCTGTGTCATAAAGTGTGTGTGATTACCACTACACACTTTCTTTTCATTTGACCCTCAAATTTTCACCCTCATTTGAATTCACTTGATTATGCAGTGGAAACTATCTGAGAACTACTCTTCACCAAAAAGTTCAAAATCGGTTATATATTTTTATTTTCATTGTTGTGGGAAAAAAAGATATACATAGAGAGAGAAAGAGACTGCAAATTAAGCCACAATTTGTTTTCCTGGTAACAAAACAAGGCTCAGAAAGTTTTCTTACTATTTGCCCATGAATAAATGTAAAAGGTGTTATTACCTTAAGTATTCCTTACTTTAAAAAACAAAAATTGCATGTAATGGTGGGAATGACTTGAATATTATTTAGGGAACCAAAAGAAACCAATCTTCAAAAGTCATCAGTCTTGAAGTCTGTGTGCTATCATGTTTGTTTTCATGACTTTTTTATTTAAGCATAATGGGACCACAATCTTGACTCTAAGCATATTTCAGACCAAATTATAATTACAGAACCTCACAGTCCAGATTTACTGGTAAATTCATAGGTGGCATGGGAGGGTTGTTTAGTGGTGTGGGCAAACGCCTTCACCAGTCCAACCTCTTTACATATTTCAAATTAAAAACTCTATTATAGCTTCAAAGGCTTCCCTGATAGCTCAGTTGGTAAAGAATCCACCTGCAATGCAGGAGACCCCAGTTCGATTCCTGGATCAGGAAGATCCACTGGAGAAGGGATAGGCTCCCACTCCAGTATTCTTGGGCTTCCCTTGTGGCTCAGCTGGTAAAGAATCTGCCTGCAATGTGGGAAACCTGGGTTCAATACCTAGATTGGGAAGATCCCCTGGAGACGGGATAGGCTCCCACTCCAGTATTCTTGGGCTTCCCTTGTGGCTCAGCTAGTAAAGCATCCGCCTGCAATGCAGGAGACCTGGGTTTGATCCCTGGATTGGGAAGATTCCCTCAAGAAGGAAAAGTCTACCCACTCCAGTATCCTAGCCTGGAGAATTCAATGGGCTATATAGTTCATGGGTTCGCAAAGTGTCAGACACAACTGAGTGACTTTTACTTTCACTACAGCTTCAAAGACAATGCTGTCCCAGTCAGTCATCCAGGGTTAGGGTTTTTCTTATCATGAAAAGCTATTACATATACAAAATATATAATACTGTGTATATATAATAAAGAATGTATATGACTAAGACCACCTTTATGACTTCAGAACACTACTATTTTATTGTGAAATCAAAAATTTTACATAGAATTTTGATATTTTTGGAAGCTCCTTATTTTGGAGTTATGGAGGTATAGCCCCAAGAATTGATTCTCAGTGACCCATGTGTGGACGACCTACATAATAGTTTATATTGCATGACTAGATGTGTTTTCTAGACCACTTAACCTCCCATGGGCTGAAAAATCATTGTTTTCAATCTGTGCTGTGACCTCTTTCAATTAGCTCATTTAGATTTGAGTGGATCACCTATCCATTGGGTTTATAGTAGGTCAACAGTATTTTCAGAGTTGAATGTAGTGTATGTATGTATCTGCTTTAAAACACTGCTAAATATTTAGCTGATACATAATAGGTTTCAAGAAGACATATGAAAAACTAGAAATTTGGGGTTAATAAGCTACTCTTGAGTTTGCCTAGAGTTTTCTTATGCCTTCAAGAAGTATACCATCTCTTTCCAGAATGCTTAAAATTATAATTTATAAGAAATTACTAAGCACTACTTCAGTGTTTTTTGTCCATTTAGTAGTTAGGATGTGAAAAAATATCTACTGATTGGTTGATCTATACTAGAACTCCCTGGTAGCTCAAATGGTAAAGAATCTACCTGCAATGCGGGAAACCTGGATTCAATCCCTGTGTTGGGAAGAGCCCCTGCAGAAGGGAACACTCCAGTGTTCTGGCCTGAAAAATTCCATGAACAGAGGAGCCTGGCAGGCTACAGTCCATGGGGTCGCAAAGAGTCAGACATGATTGAGCAACTTTCACTTCACTTCACTTCATACCAGAACTCTGCTTAATATCAAGGGTGACTCAAAGGAAAGTAAGATTGTTTCTAACTTGAAAGTCCAGCTGAAGAGAAAAGGCCAACAC